CATGCATTCCTCCCATGGCCAGCAGCAACAGCAGCAGGTGGGGATGCTCGTGGTGCATGTACCTGGTGTAGGCACTTGTGCCCAGTGGCGCATAGCTGTGGCCAGCACTGCACATTGTGGTGAGAGGCACAGCCCCTGCTAGGACACCTTTATCAGTGGCACTCCCTACCACACATGCTCAGTCCCCTGCACTCACACACCATGGGAAGAAAGTAAGGGTGGCCAGAATTTGGAATGGACTTGCAAGGGAGTTGGTGCTCTCCCCTATCTTGGGGTTTGTTAAGAGAAGGCCTTGGAGGTCTTTAAGAGAAGGCTGGATAGGCATCTGGCTGGGGTCATCTGACCCCAGCACCCTTTCCTGCCCAGGGCAGGGGGTCAGACTCGATGATCTACTGAGGTCCCTTCTGACCCCAGCATCTATGAATCTATGAAAGCCCCACATGTTGGAGCTAGCTGTCTTCCCTGCCCCCTGCCTCAGGTCCTGGGACTCCATGGGGAAGCGGCCCAGCAGGGGCTGTGCCCCTCGCCACAATGTGCAGCACTGGCCAAAACTGGGCACCACTGGGCACCAGCCCCTGCACTGTGCACAAGTGTCCTGAGCGCCCCATCCTGCTGCTGTTGCCACCACTGCCTACCAGGGCTGTGCACCATGGAGAACTGTGGGAAGGGGTGTCCCCACACCTCCTCCCCAAAACTCCCTCACACCCACACCTTGCTGACCTGAGCTCCACACTGCCGCCAACCCCTTGGGTGCAAACTAAGCACTGCTGCCAACGCCAGCTGCACGCTCTGTGCTCCTACCCAGCTGCAGCTCCCCTATAGCCCCCATCACTGCTCCCGCCCCCACTGCTCCCCTACCTGCTGCCCAGAGCAAGCAGGATTCTGGGGAAGCTGAGCAGGTCCAACTGCAGCTGCAGCAGTGGCAGCAGCCCAGCCTGGAAGCTGTGCATTGGCTGGGCCTGGCCCTCCCACCCACAAGGGTGGGGGCAAGGCACAATAGGGTATGTTGACAGGGGGTGCGTATACATGGGCACCTCATTTCCACCGTTGGGGGTGGAAGGGCTGGGCAGGGTACAATTACTTGGTGGGCGCCGCAGGCCAGAAAGACATGCCTGGAGGGCCGGATCTGGCCTGCAGGCTCTATTTTGCCTGCCTCTGGTTTATACAGTGCCTCCTATGAATGAATCTGATCCCTGATCTTGGTCCCATAACAATAGAAATATTTTAAGAATCATTTTCTTCTACTTGCTTCTGTTAATTAATCATATATTATAAAGACCCATTGTAGTACACAGATATGTTCTAGCTGACAAATACCTTTTTCCCTTTTCTTTTTCAAATTATGATTTGAGGAACTCAAAACTGGGACTTAACTATTTTTCTCATAGGCATGTGTCTAACATTTTATATACATTTTTTTAATAGAATTTTAAAATTATATTCTTCCACCTAAATATTTTACTAATATTAATTTTTTCATACTAACATATTCTGAAAACTGAAAAATGTTTAAGGTAGGTGTTTAACAAGTGGCTAATACTGAAAAATATGTTGGGTGATATTTTTAAGGAAAAAGTTGCCAACGTTCATAGTATCCTTGCTATTAATATGCTTTTAATAAATGTATTTAAATGTTTGATTACTTAAGTATGAGTTTTATTCATTTTCTGGTTTTGGATAAAGGAGAAACAAATGGGGAATTAGCCATTTTATTTGATATTAGTTTTCAGCCCAAGCAGTGACTTAAATTTTTTAAACTGCCTCACCAGTGATCTTTGGGAACACATATTTGAAATCTGATCCCTAAGAATTTGCTTTTTAGTTATTATGCAATCACCTCTACATACAGTATGCAAACACAAATCATAACAAAAATACTTTTTGTAGTAAAATTAAAATATGTTATAGTAGTGACTTCTAGTGTATGATTTTGTTTTTTTCTGGTTCTAAGATGGCAACCCCTCCCCCCAAATAGAGCATTTCCAGGGGGCAAGGGGAGAGACTTCCAGTGGCAAAGGGCAGGGGGTAGAGGGCAGGACTTCTAGTCCCAAGATGGCGACCAGGAGGCGGGGCTCCCCATGTGGCCCTCAAAAGCTCACCAAACCTCGTTAAGCAGACCTCCACCCAAAATAATTGCCCCCACCAGTATACACCTACCAAAAAGACAGTTTCTGTCCCAGAAAGCTTACAAACTAAGTATATTATAGCAGGCAACAGAGAGCAGAGAGAAAGGTAACAGTGAAACAATTAGCATTGGTATAATGAGCAGTGACAGTGTAATAGCTGCCTAATTATGATAAATGACTTTATAGATAGCATAACAGAAGAGAGTTTTATGAGAGATTTGTAGAATAGTAAAGTATTTTTGCTGATTCTTATTAGGAGTATTCTCACACATAAGGGGAAAGATTAAAGCAGTTGCTAGTAATAAAAGCTAATATCCCTGGGAAAGAGGTAAGAAATAATGAGACTATACCATTGGTGGTCAACTGGGGGTACGTGTGCTCCTAGGAGTACTTAAAAGGGTCATAGTGGGTATGCAGAACTCCGCATGTACGTGTGCAGCCTCAGCGCAGCATGCAGGTGACCAGGAGTGCAACCTGGCCACATAGAGAGCAGTTGGGTCTGTCTGGTAAGTTTGTTGTGGGGGAAGGGAGTAGGGCTGGGGCAGGGGCGAGACATGGGACTGAGCCACGCAGGGTGGGGGGTGACGGCTCCCACCACTACACACACCCCAGGAAAGCATGGGGGACATGTGCCCCTGGATTTGTGCACGGGGTGGGGCGAGATGGGGCCAGAGCCATGCTGGGCTCTTCCCAGTGGAGGGCTGGGCTAAGCTGTGCTTGGGGTGGACAGCGGCACTGGGAGAGGGGTTGGGAGGAGCTACAGAAAATCCTGGAGTGGCTGCAGCCCCTCCCCCTGTAGCCCCACTCCCGTCGGCCCCCACAGTGAGGCTGGGACTGGGGCTGGAGCAGGTGCTGCCCAGCCAGGGCACAGCATGAAACAGAACCATGAGAGGCTTGTCCAGGGGTCATGGGCAGTGGCGGCTCCCATAGATGCATGCACCCTGGGAGGGCTTGGGGGGGTGCATGCCCCATCTCTGCTTGTGGGGTATGGAGGGCTGCGGGTCACTGTGGGCTGGGGCCGGGGCAGCGCTGAGCTGGCTGGCACTGGGAGGCAGGTTGGGGGTGCTATGGTGAATTCTGAAGTGGCTGCAGCCACTCCCGTAGCCCCCTCCCAGTGCCGCCACCACTTGCCCCAAGCGCAGCCCAGGCCTTCCCGGAAACAGGCCGGAGCAGCCCCAGCCCGCCCCACCCCATGCACAGATCTGGCGGCAAGCGCCCCCCATACCCCGCGAGGCGTATGCAGCAGCAGGAGCTGCCAACTCCCGCACCCCCCTGGACAAGCTACTTATGGCTCTGTCCTATCCTCTGCCCCAGCTGGTCAGCACCTTACCTGCTCCAGGCTTAGCTCCAGCCCCACCCCCTCCCTCATCATAGGAGCCTACAGAAGCAGGGCTATGGAGGGGGGCTACAGCCACTCCAGAATTCGCTGTAGCATCCCCCCAACCTATCCCAAAGATCATGTAATATGACTGAAACTATGACCCAGGAAAATTATCTTTTTAGGCAAGAGAATTTTGAATAGAAGATAACATTTATACAATCATACTTCAAATATTAAGATTATGTAATTTGTAGCATTTACCTACACATCTCTTCATGCTCATTTCAAAATCCCTTGTTACCTCACCAAAAAGCTCTTCAACCAGTAACTTTCTGTCCTTGCCTTCTCTGAGGGACTCAGGAACCCATTTGAGCATGGACATAAGCCACTGCTGTTGAATAGGAACTACTGGGTTACTGGCCACACACTCCTTCATAAAGAGATAGTTGATCTGAAAGGACAATATTATTATCAATCTAATAATTTGTTCTTGAATGTTGACATTATACTGAATAACAAACTCCTTTTGTATGTCACTCCTATATTCCATCTGTAGTGCCACAGTATTATCAATCTTTTAAAGTAATATAAAGAAGGCTATTCTAAGGAACACAAAACCATTTTCACGCCTCTTCTTATTCAGAGATGGTGTATGACACTATTCATGTACTGTGTTCTTTTTACCCCCCTCAATTTCTGCTAACACTTATGGAGCAGATTATTATGACCGATGATCAAACTGGCAAACTCTTCTAAAGCTAATATTAAAGTTGCAGAATCCTAGTGGGGGATACTTCTTCTGGGTAACAGGTTTATTAAAACCCAGAGAAAGGGCTGACTTTAAAATTCTTAAACATTTAAAACTTCCTTAAAATCTTAAACATTTTAAATTAGCCTACCTAACAGGAAAAGATACAAACACTTTGATGAAGTGGGTATGACCCTCTCCGTTTAGCTAATTAGGGCATATATTGGGACATCAATTTGGACATTAGGGCAGAATGACTCATCGAGATAAATTTTATTCCAGAGACAAGGCGCATCATTTCCTGGATTTGCACTTCTGTACACACACACAGTTTTCTTCTTAAAATCAGATGCACAACCCTCCCTGATTCCTAAACCTTTCCTCCTGCACCCCTCCAAGAGGCTAGAATGTGATTCATAGCTTCAGTCCAAAAACCAATAATAGGAATCCTGCCATTAATTTAAGTGTAATTTGGATCAGGTCTTATACAAAAGATATGACATGCAGTACTTTCCTTCTACTAGACATGGAAATGATAACTCCCGTTTCACTTCTTGATCCACCTCTCCCACAAGGTACACGCTAAAAGTTGAACTAATTTATTAGCTACTAATTTCTCATATACATAATTTCTGTATTATTTCTGCATAAAAATCATACAGTAGTTGTCTTAAGAAAAGTAAAACACCAAACGATTTAACTCACTCTTCGCTTTTTTTGTTCACTATTCATCTGTGAAAAGAGAAAGACAACAAAAAACAGGTAATATGTTAAATTAAGACTGTAAGAACAAAAGTCAAATCAGAAATTTAATTCTTTATTTTTAAACTTTGCAAATATTATTGTGTAAAAGCTGTATCCTGAAAATATATATGCATAAATATATTGACTTAAATGAGACAGCTCAACTGGACAGAGTTAAATAAGATAGGGCTCTAATTATCTACATTTGCAAGCCTGAAACCGAGGATGCACAATTAAAGGAATTGAAGATGTTACATAATCAAAGTGAGAATACACTTGAAAGGAATTCAAAACTCACAGTGGAAGGCAATTCTGGCTCTGGAGGTGTAGGAACTCTCTGATATAGTTCTTCCGTGGTTGCTTGATAGTCTTTTAAAGCTCGATCCATTCTGAAGTATATTATAAAAATGCAGTTATTTTATAAAGCTGCAAATTTCTCTTTCAGGTGTACAAACTAAATATTTCAACCCTACAGAGTGAGATTTTCCCAATTACTTTCTCTCTTCCTCTACAGTGAGGTACCCAGGTCTCAGTCATAATTGAAATATTATTTAAAGGGAAATGTGGCAAGTTAAAGACCAGACTCACTACTATAAATAATGTTCAATGGATCCTGAATTAATCTATGTCTATAATTATATTTTTCAAATGTGATTAGCAGCAGCTACATCAAGAAAAGGTTCTCCTTTTCTCCATGCATAAATTGAAAAAAGTTACATAACTTAAATAGCTAAATGTCCAATAGAAGACTCTTCATGACTGGTACTGATTTATCCTGTTCATCTTACACATCAAAACATCTCACCCATTCTAATTAACATACATATCATGTATACTGGCAAATAAAATGTACCTAGACTGCTCCAGACTTATCTCTCAGCACAATTCAGGCTACAGGCCCACAGGTGGCACTAAGGCCGTCACTAATAATGCGGATACATAATCACAATTCCTAATCCTTCAAAAGGCTCAGAGGCAGTCAAAGGGAGGTGCATCAGGACATGTGCTCCTATTGACTCCACTAGAAAACCCTCTGACAGATAGAGGCACCAATACAGTTGTTTTTCTTTCCAAGAAGTGAATTCTTCCTTCATTTAATTTATCCAGTCAGAAGAATAAAAACTGTACCTGCTATACCTATAGAGGTGAACCTGGCACAGTGGGAACATGATATTTCAGGTGCCTTATACCCAATATTTTTTATTTTAAAATATTTAATTTGACATATACAAGCTTTACCCACCAAAATTTCCAAGCACATGCAGAATACTATAAAATCCACATAATGTAACATGAACCATTTAAAAATCATAATTTATCTGAAAATAATTTACCTATTATTTTTATACATGAATCCCTAAATGATTTAAAACTAACAGAGATTAAGGGAAAATCTAATTATTTTCTATTTTTTTAGTTTCATTTTTATGTAAGTGACAGCTTTTGACCATTTCTTCTCTAATGAATGAAGAAGAACAAAATCATTTCACAAAGGAAGAAACTAATTAGGAAAAAAAAACTAGCAGAGGGGCTTAGGGAGAGATGTGATATATTAAATTGTTTTTATCTTGTTCTTTAAAGCTAAAGCTAGATTTCAAGTTGATAGGGTCCCTTTAACCAAATCAAAGGTTCTCTGTCTTGGTATGAAATTTCTATCTAGCAAGAATGAAATTAATAGAATTTTGAATCTATTCACACTGTTTGCATATCGTGCACCAACATTTAGGCACTATTCTCCAGTGACAGCATTGATACAGTGTTATAAAAATATTTTGTAACATAATTGCAAATTACTTAGTCTATTAAATATATCAAGGACTATAACTTACCTTACTTTAAAAAAAGCTTATTTAGTACTCAAATAGCTTAAAATAATATTCCAAGAGAGGTGTCTCAGCCTATCAGAAAGTTCTTTTATTTTATAACATATTAGCAATGTGACACAGACAGCTTTTCATGCATTCTAAATGGCCTCACTGTACTCATTTGAAATATTACTGGAGGATCAGGATTTGGTTTCTAATATTAAGAACTAAAAAAGATGGTAATTAATTTTTAAAGTCTGCATTACCATGGACTGTAAGATATGAAGGGCAACAAATGTCTCTTATTCTGTTTGTAGTGTCTGTCTACATGCCTTTAAAGAACTTAAATTTACAATTGCTATTAAAAATACCATTACCTCTCTCTCTCTTGCTCACCGCTAATTCAGTTCTTTTTTGTGATAAACCCCTTTTACAATCTGACCTCACACCAATTAGCAAAAATTAGGTGGGCTCTGAACAAATGCAAGGATTCTCCAAAACTATAAAAGCTAGGCTTTAATTTATCCTTTCAGGAATTGAAAAGTTGCCCAGGAAAACAGAAGGGGTAATACCAGAATTTCATAAATACAAGGTAAAAAGAAAAATGGTTCATACTATGGACCTAGAAGTATGCAGCACAGCTCTTAAAATGAAGAGGTCTGCACTACAATTATGCACAGATACAACATACTTCTATATACAATATTAATGTGCTTTGATTTCTAAACCATCAGAACAGCTCCCCTAGAACAATGCAAATTACCAGGTCAAAGATCCACCAGGTGAGAGCTGGGGACAAACTGTTCTCTGACTATGGAATATTTTTTTCCAAAGATTAGCTGAATCTAGACTTGGCCCATCCATGGGAAAGGCAGAAAAAAGTCTTTCCATGTAATAAGCAGCCCCTTCTTTCCTCCCCCTCCCCCACTCCTCCTTTTGTGCATTTGTTTTTCTTTCTAAGTATTGTCAGAGACCTAGCACACTCATTGCAAGGGTGTGGCAAGGCTCAGAGCAAGCCAGAAAGCTGAAAAGGCTTTCTGTAAGAGAATCCTACAAACTACATCTACATATTGACTGAGCTAAGTGTCACTAAAAAACCCAAAAAAACTAAAATATCTACTTCAAAGACTGTAAATATATCCTGGTGCTAACCTAACTCATTTACTGTCCTCCAGTAGCTTTTGATTCTCAGTACCTCGCACTGCATTTTTATATATTTCTCACAGTTCATTTTTATATTTCACCTGGCTCATCTCTACTATGGCATTTTGTATTTAACAGTTAATACTTGTAAACCCTTAAGGAATGTACTCCCTGTAGAATGAAGTTACACCATTGTTAAAAACTGCATTGAAATTGTTAAAATTGTGAAATTGTTAAAAACTGCATTGAAATTGTTATTGTAAAGTGCTAAAATCTGCTATACTGGGCTGGTCCCTTGAGTGAATGCGAGTATGTATGATGATCAGTAGGTAATTAAATGACAAAGCAAGAACCTCTGGCTGTTAAATGACAATAGCCTAGCCAGAGGAACTTACCATTACAAAACTCTACTCTACAAGCCATTTTAGGCTAATCAAGCCAAGGAGCTGGTTCCCGGAACTGAGCACCCACCCTATTCCTGAAACCCATGGAAATACAGCCATTGAGTCAATCAAGTCAAGGGTGGACTCCCAAAACTGCACGTACTGGCAGGCAGAAACCCCTGTGACTGACAGCTGTCATGCACTACTCGAGACCCAAATGGGACAGTGACCTCCAGACTGGGCAGCCAAGATGATGCTGGGGGATCACACAAGTCTGCCAAAAAGGGATAAAAGTCAGTGAAGCATGACCCTCAGTGGTGCCCTCCCATCCAGCACCTGACTTAATGAGACAGAAGGACAAGCAGGTGACCCCCTTCTGGAGAAGACATTGCCTTGAAGGAAGCTTAGAATTGATAGCAGACTCCAGGGCCTTGGATAAGTAGATATACTGACACCAGTGCTGTCACAATCGCTACATTATACAGTATACTACATGGGCACGTCCACACATGCAAGCACGTGCGCTTGCAGCAGCTCAAACAGAAGCGGTGCAAATCTGAGCGGGGGCTTTTTGCCTCAGTGCATGTGCTCGGACATGCACTTTGTTGTGGAGCAAATTGTGCCACTTGAGGCAAAATAACCCTGCCTGGCTGCTTCCGGATCTGCAGCCAGGGGGAGCTACAGCCCGGGGCCAGAACCTCTGCTGTCCCCAGCAGTATAAAAAACTGCCCTGTCCTGGCCCCATCCATACAAAAAGCTGCCCTGGCAAGCAGCTCAGGGCTACGCGCTCTCTGGAACTTCTGGTACTTAGCCACTTGGTATCTGGGGACACTATGCCTTGTGCCAGCTGGACTGCTGCAGCACCATCCCAAATCCATTTTTAATAATACCCCAAAATCCATGTTTTTCCACATTTAACACAATTGGGGGGACTGTGGGTGTGGGAGACCTTGTAGGGAGGCTGCTCAGGAGGGGTGGGTCCCCTGGCCCCCACAGGGTGCAGCCCCCCTACACAACACATGGAATGCCACCAGAAGGCCCCAGCCTCCCCGCCCAGGGTCGCAGCTCCCTCTGGAGGGCCACAGTCTCCCTGCCTAGGGTCCCAGCTCTCCCTGGAGGGCCCAGCCTCCCCACCAAGGGTCCTAGGCACCCTGGAGGGCCCCAGTCCCCCCGCCCAGGGCCCATAACTTACCTTTAGCAGCAGCAGCAGCAGGAGTGGGGTGCTCTGAGTCATGGCAGCAAGATCCAGCACGGCATGCGGAGACCGTGCACTGGGCCCAGCCAGGTCCTGCTGGCCCTGGGGACCATCTGCCGCCTGGCTGGGCCAGGCCCTTGCTGGCAGGACCCAATGCGGCACATGGGGACCGCATGCTGGGCTCAACCAGGTCCGGGGACCTCTCTGCTGCCGGGCCGGGCCCTTGCTGGCAGGACCTGCCGCCCTTGGGGCCCCTCTACCGTCCGGCCAGGCTGGGCCCTTTGTGGCAGGACCTGGCGTGGCATGCAGGGACCACGTGCCGGGCCCAGCCGGGTCCTGCCACCCCCAGGGCCCCTCTGCTGCCCGGTGGGGCTGGGCCAGACCCAGGGCAGCAGGACCTGATGCAGTGCACAGGGACCATGCACTGCACCTGCCAATCCTGGGGTTGCTCCTGCTGCCCTGGGCCCAGCCTGGTTGGGCAGCAGAGGAGCCCTGAGGGCGGTAGGACCCTGGTGGGCAGGGATTGGGAGGCTGGCGAGGAAGGGCCGGGCAGGGCAGGGATCGGGGAGGCTGGGGGAATGGGTGTGGCTGGCGGGGATCCCCCCCCCCATGGTCCCCTCCCCCCTCCTCCAGCCCCCCTGACCCCTTACTCACCATCACCGGAGCCCTGATGCTGAACACATGGCCTGGCCGGCCGCAAGTTTCAGCACCAGGGTGAGGGGCCAGCCATGGAGATGCTCTGGCAGCCAGAGCATCTCCCTGGAGGATGCAGCCTTTGATTGCCTCAGGGCACAGTCCGGGACTGTGCCCTGCCCCACTTTTTTTTGTTTCGGTTTTTTTAGACCCCTAGATATCCAGGGGTCTAATTTTCTCCCCGTGCTGCAAACCTGCAGCGCAGGGAACATTTTTTTTGTTCCCACACGTGCCTCTTGCCCCATCTCAAAAGGGTTTGAGGTGGGGCAAGAGGCACGTGCGCGCTCATCTGGACACGCCCCATGGGCTTAAATGACATGGGTTTGAATGAGTGAGTGCAAGTGTGTGTGTGTATATGTGTTAAGGTGACCAGTATCCCCCATACCTCAAAGTTTGCATTTATGATTATATTGGTAACGTCACATCCTGACCAATAAACTAGAATTTATGATGATCCTGAGAGTTGGTCCTTTGCAGCCAACATACACCATAAGTGCTACTTAAATCTAAACACTTCCTTTATTCCCAAGCCTACGCCAGCAGAGTTATGACCCTGTAAAAAAAAAAAAAAAAAGATCAAGAAATTTCACCATCTTTGCTATACAATTTTGTATGGATGATGCTTAAATACTATAGTGAGTATTGCACTGGGTAGCAATGCAGAATGCTAGACAGAAACCCTTAAAACCTCTCAGCTATATCAGAGTAAACTGATGTTTTAATTTCAAGCTTGAATACCACTTATTTATTGAACTGAATGTAACTCACACTATCTGATGAAGCATCTTTTGCTGTTCCTTGAATCTTCGGTGTTTCAGTAGCTTATTGTGTGTTGGTGAGACATCAGCTGTGATTGCTGTAGGAAAGACAATCGGTGGCAACCGCACGCTCCAACTCTCTTTTTCAGTAGGTGTTGTTGATCTATTTGAAAGCTCCATCTAAAACCATAATAAAACAAGATACTAAAATACATCTTCCCAAAAACAGATAGAACAGATCACAAACTAAATTGTACTTGCAGCAGAATGTGTTACTTGCAATAATTTCCATAATCCAAGCACCAGAGCATTCACGTTTCTGTAAGAGAAAAGTCTATATTTTCTAAAAAAAGAAAAGTCTATATTTAAACTTCAAATACACTGAGATAATTAGGGCGCTCTTCTTTCATTGGCACAAAAGCAAGTAACTAGATCTGGTATGTGTGGCTCTGAATGCTGTAAGATGAACTTTACTTATGTTGTTCTTTTTGTTTTGGTAGATCTGCATGGCTAGGGACAGACATTCAAAAAGCCTGAGCCAGAATTGATTCAATCTTTGAAGGTTAGTCTAACCTGCAAAGCTTGAGCCAATTTTGAGGTGGATAGACATTCCCTTTTCATTCTAAAAATGCAGACACATTCCTGCAGTGGCTCAGGCTAAAAGCTGAAGGTGGGGACAATGGGGGTGCTACAACAGCTGTCCCTTCCCTTCCACAATGCTGAGCTGAGGAGGGCATGGCCAGGTCCCAGCAGGATGCTCTGATTAGGGAGGGGTTCCCTGCCACTGTCTATTGAGCACTTAGTTACACAGCAGGGAGTTACACAGGGAGTTATCAGCCCATCAGACAAAAACAAAGCCTCTCTCATTAGTTCAACCTCTTATTAAACAACTTTTTCCAAGCAAGAAATGAAGGGACATTACCAGCTACCTGTTGATTAGCTTAAAAAAGGCCTAAGCAGACACTGTTCTGTCTGCCTTTGTCCTGCCTCCCACGGCACGTACCATAGCCAGCATGTGGTATGCTAGCTAATGCTGAGAGGTGTCTGTGTAAGCCAGAGGGGAAGGGAGGAACTCCTGCTTGAACAGGGAGTGGTGAGGGGGACGGCGGGAGCAGGAGGAAGCCAGGCAGACCACAATGTACCTGCAGTCTCTGTCAGAGCTGCAGCCAGGGAGCAAAGAGGTGAGGCCAGTGCTGCCAGGCTGGAATAGAGAGCAGAGCCCTGCCAAGGGTTGCAAAGCATCTGGAATGCTGGAGGACTCTGATTTAACTTAAACCAGCAAGGGGTCTGGGACAGACATTGCATAAACCGTTTGACCCAAATCAGTTAAGTCTGATACTACATTCAACCAGGTTTATTGCAAACCAGTTTCAGGCATTTTCAGACTGGTTTATGTGCACTGAACATCTGTTCTGTTACAGCTTAAAACCAGTTTCTGAACACTTAAACCAGTTTGTGTGTAATGTCTGTCCCTAGCCTATGTGAAAACTCGGTTGCAGACAAGTTTCCAGATCAGTACTGCTGGTAAATATGGTAAAGTTTCCCTTCAGGATTATGCTAACCTTCCTATCTTTTGGCTTTTGCTGGAGGTGAAGGCTTTTCATTCAGTTGTCTTGCATTCCAGCCTCTCAATTATAACTCTGCCTTTACTTAATGGACTAGCAAATTGCCCATGAAGAAGCAGGGGG